AGTTTGTATGGAGTCGATCTTACTATGACCTAGCGAAAAATAATCAATATGGATGGCAAGAATAAAGCAAGCATGGTGTGAAGATTTGATTAATTTTAATCAAAATTTTCAAGTGTGAGATTGTGAGAAGAGAAGTCCCACATCAGACAAATCTTATTTTGGTGCTTACTTTTCTTACTATAAAAGGAGCACAATGTTTACCTTGTAAAACACACCAAAATCACTTCCTTTTTCTTTCTCTTGTTGCTTTAATACTTGAGAGATAAATTAAGAGAGAAAAATAGTTTTCTCTTACAGTTGTTTTTCCTTTATTTTCAAGTAAGTGTGTTATTGTTTCCTCCTTTTAGAGTGTTATTATTTATCAGGGCTACTAGGTTGTGATATTAGTCTTCTGCTGCATAGTCAGTGTGTTATTGTTTCCTCCTTTTAGGGTTATTTATCAAAGCTACTAGGTTGTGATATTAGTTTTCTGCTGCATAGTCATTAGAATAGTGTTAGAGAAAAATTCTTAGTATCTTCTGTGGTTGTAGTTAATCTGATCTTCCACATCAGAAAAGAATTATTTTTGTTAGTGAATATTATTTAGTAGTGTGATAATGCATGTCTAAGAAAAGTTATGGAAAGAAAATACTTGGTATTTAAGCGTGTCCATTAGTGACCCACCTCTTTTTCCTGAGAACTTACCTGGTGTACTTATTCACGTTCTACCGTTGTTGTTTCAGTAGGCAATACTATTCATACTGAGGATTACATAAGTCGGTTTGGAACCATGGTAATAAAATAGAGATAAAGAAGTTCAATATGAGTAATTTCTTATTGTGAAAATTGGAGATAAAGACAATTTTTAGGAAGTATAATTGTATTGATGCAATTGCGGAAAGAACCGTGGAACACATGGATGAACAACGATGGAAAGAAATGAACGACAATGCTATTGCGAATTTGTACTTATTAATGACAGATTCAGCTTTATCCAGGGTTGCAGAGAAGACTATTGTGAAGGTGATTTGGAATACCCTAATTAAACTATATGAGGTGAAGTCACTTCACACAAGAATATTCTTGAAGAGAAAATTCTATACTTTTCGGATGAGTGAGTCCACATCAGTGACGAACCAAATTAACCATTTGAATACCTTGTTTTCCTAATTATCAGCGGCAGATTTCAATATAGTTGAAAATGAACGTGTAGAGCTTTTACTTCAACTTTTACCTGGTTCGTATGATCAACTTATTATCAATATTATAAATAATAATATTGGTGGGAATATGCACTTTGAGGATGTCGCTGGAGCTATTCTAGAAGAAGAATCCAACGTGGCCCGAGTAATGATAGATCAAAGTCTCAAAATAAGAAAAGTTCTAAAATCAAATGTTATTTTTGCGGCAAGAAAGGGCATACGAGAAAAAAGTGTTGGAAGAGGAAGAATGGAGGAAACAACTCTAAAGAATTAACCTCACAAGGTTGTGTTGTAAGTACCTCGGAAGATGAAGATATTCTGGTGAGCGAAACAATAATTAGCTCTAATGGTGAAAAGGAATTTCATGAAAAGTGGGTAGTGGATTCAGGTGCAATATGACACATGACTTCGCACCAAGATTGGTTTCACACTTATGAACTATTCTCAGGTGGATCCGTCTTCATGGGAAACAACCATACATTGGAGATTACTGGAGTTGGTACTGTTAAAATTAAAATATATGATGGTATTGTTCGCACAATTCAAAGGGTACGGCATATGAAGGACTTGAAGAAGAATCTATTGTCCATTGGACAATTAGATGACCTCGGGTAGATCCATGTTGAAGGTGAAATCTTGAAGGTGGTGAAGGGGGGTTTGGTGGTCATGAAGGCAAAGAAGATCATGACAAATTTGTATGTACTACTTGGAGATACGTTGTAAGAAGCGGATGCATCATTTGCCACAACAAGTCAAGAAGATGCAGTGATCATGTGATATCATAAACTTGGTCATATGTCAGAAAGTGGTATAAAATCCTTGCAGACCGTAATCTATTACCCGGGCTTAAAGATGTTAGTTTACCCTTCTGCGAGCACTGTGTGATAAATAAGCAACATAGATTGAAGTTTGTCAGAGCGACTGCAAAAAGTAAACACATATTGGACTTGATTCATTCTGATGTGTGGGAATCACCGATACTATCCCTTGGAGGAGCAAAATATTTTGTATCGTTCATCGACGATTACTCCAGGAGATTGTGGGTGTACCCTATAAAAAAAGAAGTCATATGTGTTTTCACAGTTTAAGGAATTCAAAGCACAAGTAGAACTTGAAACTGAAAAAAGAATTAAGTGCTTGAGGATAGATAATAGAGGAGGATATGTAAATGAAGAATTTTTAGCATTTTGCAAGCAAGAGGGTATCACCAGACAATTTTCTATCCCACATACGCCTCAGGAAAATGGTATAGCAGAGCGGATGAATAAAATTATCCTGGAAAAAACTAGAGTTATGTTGCGAACAACTAGAGTAGCCAAGTCTTTTTGGGCAGAAGCGGTTAAAATTGTCTGTTATGTTATAAATTGGTCATCGTCAACCGCCATTGGTTTGAACACACCAATGAAGTTATGAAAATGTAAACACTGTGCTCCTTTTATAGTAAGAAAAGTAAGTACCAAAGTAAGATTTGTCTAATGTGAGACTTCGCTTATCACATAATTTAACTTAATCTAACTTAAAACTATGTTATAATATTATTACAACTTTTTGATAACATAATCAAATTATTAATTAAGCGGGGAACCAAAATTTAAACCAACAATTATATAAATTAACTTATCTCTTGAAACATGAAATAAACAAATTGGAATACACCACTAACAATCATGATCAAGACCAGCAACCACTACCACACCACACGACAACCACTACCACACCACCATAACAACACTAACATGATGATCACCACCACAAACAACCACTACGATCTAGTACAAAATAGGAAAAAACACAACGAACAACTAGCGGTAACACCACAACCACACTATCAACACAACGACTACACTACCCATAACATGATGAGCACCAACACTAACATGACGAGCACTACCACGATGGATGACAATAAAGATGGAGCACCAACAACAAGACGACACCAATAGCATAAAAACCACCACACGACCAAGAGGAGCACCACCACCATGATGAGATGATGAACACCACTACCATGACTCACTGATCACCACACACAACTCACGCGAGAATCAATTTTGTATTGGACGAAAATCAATCTCTTTCATCGAGAATCAATTCTAGCCATGGAGAAAATGAAAACTGTGTGAATAACAATGATGAGAATCGATTTTCGTTTAAGAATCGATTTTTGTTTAAGAATCAATTCCCCATACATTTAAGGCGAGCAATAATCGATTCTCAATCTGCAACCATTATCACCCATAATCATTCTCTCCACCACTCTCACCACTAACACACAACACACAAAACCAAACCACAATCACGAACACCCAACCTTACTATGCGAATGAGAACGACCAACACCCAACCTCACTATGCGAGCGAGCAATGTATTGAATATGACACACACCTCATGTCAGGTGGGTCACCAATTTATTGGGTCCATACTTACTAAGTTAGAAGGAATAAAAATATTTTTCTTTATCGACTACCGACTCATTATATGATTATCTTTATTTGCATCTGAGTCCTTTAGGGCACAAAGAAAATAGAAGACAAAAAGACAAAGAACAGAGAAGAAGGTCTCTCGTGTGATACAAAAAGAAGTCACCACACAAATAGAAGAAGAACGTATTATTCAAAGTAACTCCATGCATAAAAGTTAGCTTGAAGAAGAGGTTTTTTTGTTCTCATTACTTTGTATTTGGTTATCTATTGTCCTCTTATATACCTGTTAGGATTATCTGTTATCCACCTTATTGGTAAAGAGAAAGTGTTATGTTGATCCTTGGTGGCTCTAAGAAAACTTGTGTTGTACCCATTAATTACTATTAGTGGAAGTTTTTGTCGAACTAGGTTCCGTGGATTTTTCCTTCACATTGAGGGTTTTTCCACATTAAAGTATGATGTCTTCTTATTTATTGGTATTCTATTTTTGGTGCATACTATTATTTATCTGTTACTTGATATTTTCAGAGCCTACTGTCATTTATACACAGGAAGAAGGAAATTTTGGATTTTGCTTTCACTTGCTATAATTTTAGTATCTTCCACAACACCTCGCAAATTAAACATACATCACGAAAACCTCCCCTCCCAAGTATTTAATGGCGTCTTAAACCTCCAATTACTATGGTCATGGTCAACATGGGACAAATATCCATTATAGTTGTAGCTACATGCATGTGGGTGAGCATGAATCTCTGAAATGATTACCAACATGCAAAAGTTTTTCCTTTGTCGTCCACCGTTATAAGATGCATGCACAGAGGAACAAAAACATGAGGAACAAAAACGTAAATAAACACTGAATAAGTTGTATTTCTTAACTAATTTCTTTTTTCAAGTAGGGTACTTTCATGACACTTTTCTCAAATCAATGCTCATAAATCTTCTCAAATTGGTTTAAAATAAACATGTATAATTGTCATTCTTCCATCTCTATGAATAATAAATAAGTGGAATATAAATAAAGATATATAAAAGAAAAAACAAGGAGTGAATAAAAAGAAATAAAAAAAGAAAAAGAAAATAATATCATAAAATAAATTTATTTTTTTATTAAATTTTGTAATATATAAATTAAAAAAAAATTAATATATTATTTAAAATATATTATTTTTGGATTTTTTTCTAATTAAAATAGATAGTTTGAAAGACTGGGGACGCAGCAAAACAAAAGAGGAAGAGATAAATTACATTTTTTTAGAGGTTTTACAAGTGAAACCCGAAAACTGAAGGGTTTTTCTGTTGTTGTCCCGCTTCGGAGGGTTTGGGACGGTAAAGGACTCGAAGTCCAAACTCTTGCGACGGAAGCGGTGGCGCTGCCTCCATTCTAATCCCATGAACACCATTCTTTGCCTCCGCCTGAGGCTGAGTCCAACACCTCTTTTCTATTATTACACCAAATCCCCTTTTCTGCAACCCTCTCTCTTTTTCTCAACAACCACTTCTGATCCCCACGCCTTCACCATTTCCTACCTCACCAACACCTGCGGCTTCTCGCGCGAGGTCGCTCTGAAACTAACCAAACGAATTCGTTTCAACTCCGCCGATAAACCTGATTCCGTCATCTCCTTCTTCCGAACCCACGGTTTCTCCACCTCCCAAATCCACCACATCTTCTGTCGAGGCCCCGATCTCATGCTATGCAACCCTACCCAAAGGCTTCTCCCCAAATTCCACTTCTTGGCTTCCAAAGGCGCTTCTCCCTCCGTGATCGTTAACATGGTCACCAAGAGCCCCCGTTTCCTCCGTTACAGCCTCAACAACCACATCAGTCCCACCTTCCAAATGCTCCGGACGTTCCTTCCCTCCGACCACAAAGCCCTCTCAGTTTTCGTCGCCTGTCCCAATTTCATTGGCGACTGTCGCGTCGCGTCCAACGTTGACATGTTGCTGGACGCCGGAGTCAAGCACTCTAGCATTCGCTTGTTGCTCCGCTGTCGTCCTTCGGTTCTCTGCTCCGACCTGAGAACTGCCATGGAGGAAGTGAAGCTGTTGGGGTTTAACCCTCTGAAGCTGACTTTCATTCTGGCGCTTCTGGCCAAAAGGGCTGTTTCGAAATCCCTTTGGGATGCCAAAGTCGATGTCTTGAAGAAATGGGGTTGGTCTGAGGATGAGATTTTGGTTGCGTTTAGGAACCAGCCTAACATGATGCTGCGCTCAACGAAGAAACTTAATGCAGTGATGGAGTTTTGGGTAGGTAGACTTGGTTGGGATCATTCCGCGCTTGTTGCGTCCCCAACGTTGTTTTCGTACAGTTTGGAGAACAGGGTTGTTCCGAGGGCTTTGGTTGTGCAGTATCTTCTCTCCAAAGGACTGGTGAAGAAGGATGCTAGCTTGGTCACCCCGTTTGGTATGTCTGATGAGTGGTTTCTGGAAAAGTATGTGAGACGTTTCAAGGAGGAAACGCCCAGGTTACTAGAGCTATATCAGGTTGGTGAGATTTAACTCATCGATACATATAGATTTTGGTGTAATTCATCTCTACCCAGTATCCCTACTTCAACTATTGTAATGTTTTGTTTTTTTTAGTATGAGCATTTTCAAATTAAGTCACCAATTATGATTTATAACAGTAGTTTGATATTTTATAGTGGATTGATCCAGGAGAGCAAGAAGTTTTCTCGCTGTAGAAAGCCTTTGCAATTAATTTTGATATCGATTCCCTTCAGCCCTTCTTGTTAGTTTGTTTCATTCTATATGTATTATTTATCAATGATGCGTGTCATCATGAATTTTGGGACTGAAATGTTGCTTGAATTTATAGCATTTTTTTAACCTGTTGAGCTCGAGCGCAAGAGGCTATACAAATCAAATTTCTTTCTTACTATGGTGACAATTCAATTTTGAGCCAGTTTAGAACTGATGACATATCAGAAATGCTTGCCTTGCTTAGGCAATCTGGGTGATTTAATTGTTTGTCTGAGAATTTTGATGCAAGTTTTGTTGTAAGAAACTCTCTGAATATTCTATTCAGTGTTCCTTCCAGATTTTTTCTTGCCAACTGAGCACTGATTCTGCCATGAATTTGAAGAAAGGTTATTCTTCTTCCAGGGCAGCTGGTAGTTTGATTTTGTGCTGAACAAGAGGCTAATGTGAATTATGATGTTTCATTTTGAATTGCTACTTAATCTTAGTAAAAGTGAATTATCAATCATATGGGTAGGTAGGAGTTACTTAGTTACGAGATTCACACTTAGATTAGACCAGTGTTAGTTAAGCAAATGGATCTATCACTTGAAGGGTTTCATTTATGTAGACTAGAGCCACACCAGTCCCAGAAACTTGCTAGCATCTGGTTTAACTTGTGGAAACAGATTTTGGTGTAAGCCTCTACCTAGCTAACTCTGGATTTCTACCAGTTTAAACGTGATGTTTCAGTTTTCAGTTTGATACTGTTTTTATTATTAGAAATTTCTGAAGAATATATTTAAAAATCTAAAAAGAATTAGATAATTTCGGTATTAGAAGAGGGAAGACATTGATCCAATTAATACTGTCAGATTATAAATATTTTTAACTTTAATATAAATAATACTTAAAACAATTTTATTTGTGGAATATACTTCACATTTAAACATCAAAATAATATTCTTAATAATTATAAACAATTTTCTCAATGAAAACCAAATTCAGGTCAAGCATATCAAAATGCCCACTCTTATTTTTGGTTTCACTCAGAAATATAGGTAGTTGGAAAGAATTACTATGAGTTTTTTTTTTAAATATTGTAGTCAATATTCCCTATAAAAAATGCTTTTATATAATTTTTGAAGTTATATAGAAGTATTTTGATAATTATTGGGGATTCTTCTAAAAAATGTCAGAATTCTTAATTTTACTTTATATTTTAAATATAAATTTTTAAATAAAAACGATGGAAAGCATTGTGTTACAAGAATTTAGAGAAATTTCATTTAAAAAGTTATATTTTGAATTCGTTATTATTATTATTGTTATTATTACTATTATTATTATTATTATTTCTGAATACTAAAAATTGATTTATACAATTTTCTTTCTTTTAAAAACCAACATGACAGAGTCTCTGGTAGTTTTGAGGTTTTGGTGATTTAGGCAATTGAAATTCGACGTTCTCTAGCGTTGTTGTATCTCGTCAACAATCGTGCCGCCTTCTCCGCTCTCGAAACCTTCTCAAATACACGCCATCCTTCAGAAGATTGAATTTCTTCACTCAACGTGCTTCTGCTTCATACATGGTGAGCCCGTACCATAATTTGATATCACAATCATAGAATCCCTCCTAGCACATGGATTTGTTACTGTGTAATGTAATTGTTTCTGCTAACACAAATGTCACATATTCGAATATAGGATTTCATTTTTATCGAATGCAGTTGTTATAATTCCAATCTACACTCACTACTTTCCTCACTGTTGCTGTGCTTGAATTGGAATCTCATGGTTAAATTTTACACCCCCAGGGGTTTTGCATTCACAACCCTAAAATGGATTCCTATTCTCCAACTCCAATTTCCTAAATTCCAACTCTGCACTACCACCTCCCACCCACGCTCTTTCGTGTCTCGTACCTCGTCAACAACTGTTGGCAAAGTTTGAATTTTTGAGTTCAAAAGGTGCTTCATCCCTTGACATTGTTTACATTGTGACCACCAGCCCTCATTTCCTCAGACGAAGCTTGGAGAATCATATAATCCCAGCATATGAACTTGTAGGCGGGTTCCTCCAATCCTTGTTTACAGACAAGCAAATCATTGATTTTCTGATTCAGAAACATTATTTATTTGATGACGGCCATCTGGTACCTAATGTCAAATTGTTGCTTGATAATGGAGTTACCCGCTCAAACATTGTTAAATTCTCCAGAGATGGCCTATTGTACTCTGCTCTGGCTCTGGCAACTTGTTAAAGACAGTTCAAAATTTGAAGCAAATGGGCTTCGATGCTTCAACTTAAATTTTCTGCGTTACATTGCTTGCCAAAAGGGCAGTAAACAAAAGCAAATGGACCGAGAAGATTAACACTTGTAAAAGTTGGGGGTGGTCCCAAGAACAAGTTCTTCTAGCATTTAGGAGGCAGCCATATTGTATGCTGTCATCCCCTGCTAAAATTAATGCAGTGATGAGTTATTTGGTCGAGCAGGTAGGTTTCAATTCTGTGGACCTTGTCAAAGCTCCTGTAATTTTTCTGCTGAGTCTCCAGAAGAGTATTGCTCCTAGGGCTTCCGTTGTGCAGCTTCTTATCTCAAGGTCTGGTACAAAAGGATGCAATCTCTAAAAGACCATTTGCACCATTTTTTCTGACTGAGAATTTGTTCCTGGAAAAGTATGTGAAACGTTTTAAGGAGGATTCTTCACATCTGTTAAAGCTGTACACAGAAAAGATGAGTCTTGGAAATGATAGGGATAGCACTTGTATGTGAACTTGTCTTCAGGTTTGTTATTTCTTAGAGATCTTCCCTGCAGAAATTTGTGATGTTTTTCAGGAACAACATGCTTCATATGCAGATGACTTTTGTCAGATAGCTAGTTTAGCCTCAGCTAGAAATTTGTGAATTCCTTTAATGAAGATTCTTCTCATCTGTATAAACCGTGTGAAGTAAAAAATTGTCTAAAGAAAGACACTTCTCACCTTAGACTTATTGCAAGGGCTTCAGTTATCCGGTATCTTCTATCATTAAGTTTGATTAAGAAGGATGCGAGCTTAGCTAGCGCATTTAGTTTGTATGATTATTTATTTTAGCAAAAGTTTGTGGCCATATCTGGGACTGAGGATGCTAGCATCTAGCAGTTGATTAAATTTTGATTATAGATTTTGTTGTTATACTTCTGTCTAAATCTGGATTTCTACCAGTCTGATTTTGTTGTTTGATTTGCTTAACTGGAACCCTTTTTTTTTGTTTAATCAAGTCAGTTCTGGTCGGTACTAGTAATTTGATATTTTTTAACTAATTTATGCTAGAGCAAATGACTTTTACTATGAAGAACAGTCCGTTTCAAATCTAGTGATGTTTTAACTTTTAACTTTTGTTTTGCAAGTATTAATGTTTTAGATTAATTGATGTTGCATTTCAATTTAATATTATTCAGTTGGAAATTGATCCGTAAGGCTTGAAATTCTGTAATACAATTTATGATTTTTAGTTGGATGAGGGAATTAAATAAGGATTATTTAGACTATATATACATGTCAATTAATTATTTTTTCAGTTGCGTGTTAGCCTTAAAATCAGTAGATACAGAAAAGAGAATACCTTCCAAGCAAATTCACCGAATTGTTTGTTTCTTGCCACACATTTTCTTCAAAGAGAGATCATGGGAATGACTATGACATGTTTGGTGTCACTTTTTTTAGTTTCTGCTGTGAACTTCTTGTCGTTAACATTATTGTGTTTCTGCAAATATTGCAGTTTGGGTTTTATATTCTTTAAAAATACAGATTTCTGTTTATAATTTATGTAAACTCAGCTGGGTTTTTTAGTCTTTCCCATAAATGAGTGATTTTTTATTTATTTAATTTTCCATAATAAAATTTATTTATTTTTTATTTTTTTGTCTTTCTAGAATTGAAAATTATTATTTTTATTTCTTAGTATTACATGACACTAATTAATATTTTTAACTATCTACTAAATGATCATTTTGCATATATATATATATATATATATATATATATATATTATTGTAAAAGAAATATTGTTAAGACCCATAAGTAAATATTATTGATGTATCTTAAAATGAATATTAGAGATTAAAAATAATTATTTAAAATTGTTGAGGGATGAAAACTAAAGAAAAATATTTTAGGAAGATTAAAATTAAAATTCATATGACTAAATTGTTTTTTCTAATTTTGTAGAGATGAAAAACAGAAAAAAAAATTATAATAAGAATATCTAAACATTAATCAATCAAGTCACTCCCAAACACTTTCTGGGCAATGTTATTTAACTTGCTCTCATCTCTCTTACATGTCTCATTTCCTCCCCTATTTCCCTCCATCCTGTGTCAACAAAATTTTCCCATAAAATATTGTTCTACCTCATTTACATTTCTTTCTTTATTATTCCAAAACATTATAGGGATAATGTTAACTTTTTTGTTTTTTTGTTTTTCCTTTTCTTTCTTTTTAGTCTTTTATTTATGAAATGTGTAACACGTGAAAGGCTGTGTGACTCTTATGTCAATGTAAACGAGAGATGAAAAAAAGATAACCTCTCTTTAAAGAATAAAATCACAAGTGATATACTTTCGAAAAGACCCAATATTATTTGTTTGTGAGGGAAAAACTTTATTATTCTTACTAACACTAAAATATATTTAACGTTATGAAGAAAACAGTGAATTTGATTGTGCCAATTGACATATTATTTACTATTTTAAAAAAATTAGCTACTAAATTTGTCTTTTAAAAAATCTCTTAAAATATATTAACCATTGTAATGATCCTATAAATCGCTACTATAATGATACATTCGCAAAATAGTAAACAAGTTAATAACAACATCTATATTATATCATATTATTGTAATTGTAATATAGACTGAAATTCTGGTTCATTGGCGGAACCTCAAAACATAGTAATATAATTTATTTATCTAGATACATACAAAAGTAGCTCCCACAAAGCTACCCTCTTGAACTATCCCTATTGTCCAGTAGTCGCATCTCCACCTCTCAACTCCTGATCTGCTCCCACATAAAAATAATCATCGCAGTCCCATCCACATGGAAAAATAGGGGTAAATATTAAATCATTCGATATAATAAAACAGATATATAAGTAATAATTACATATTATCACCAATTACAAATCATCAATACATTAAGACGCCTTCCGGAAGTCTACCCTAACTATGCCTGAACTCAGAGACTATCATCTGTGGACACATTGTGATCGGTACTCGCAGTACCATTCTGACCACCCTCCACACAGAGTAGGATTACTGGCGCCCTTCATCACTCATACTGGAGTACCCCTCCGAGCGCGCCACCAGTCATCCCTCCATCGACTTCTCACCACCTAATCTCGTAGTCTACCTGACCCGACCAATTAGTGAAGTCTGGGACCTCATTCAGAATCCTCCGACATAGTTATTACACTAATGTACTCTGTACCACCCCGGGTACCATTCAAACACAACAAAAATCATTCACATCTGTCGGATTCTGGACCACCTGTCCTCACGGCTCATTTGGGTCAATAAATAATAGTATTTGACTGATTCTGGGCACCAACCCTCCGACTCAGTTTAGCCAATACATAACATCTCATGATTGATTCTAGGCATGGGCCCTTAGACTCAGTTTGACCCACACATGTCATAACACACTCGCTGAATCTTTAAAACTCGCTACCTTCATTCTATATTTTAAAAAAAATATATATATATATATATATATATATTTTCAGAAATCATTAAATTACTATTTTTTCCTTAATCTTTTCTGAAAATTCCATGTATGTCCCTAAATGACTATTTTATCCTTGGACATTTTCGAAAATTCCTTTCATGTCCCGAAAATGACTATTTTACCCTTGAACATTTTCGAAAATTCCTTCCATGTCCCTTTCTTCTTCCTCGTGTCCAAGTAACAAGTATCAAAATTTGCAGATTTTAGCAGATTTCAAATTACTCAGTTTTAGACAACCAAACTAGTCCCAAATTCAAATTAAACATAACTTATATCTAATTTAAGTTGAAAACAACAATTTTACCATATAATTCATCCTTAATTTCAAGAATTCCAACAAAATTTCAAGTTTTGCAAAACATGAGAAATCTTCAAAATCAATCATTCTAATGTTCAAATTTCCACTCATATTCCTTATTCACAGAGTACTCAACAATTCGAGTCTCATATATTGAATGAATTAAACTTCCCCTTACCTGGTGTGGTATTTATACTGAAGTTTTCCCACTTAATTCAAGTTTTCTTCCGTTTCACTGGATCCTGCACGAGTAGAGTCTCGTTGCTTGAAATTTTGACAAAAGAAGAAGAAGGATGAGAGGGAGAACTACTTGCTGAATTTTTTCTGCCTCCTCCCCCTTTCCGTATGTACATATATATAAAAGAAAAAAATTTATCGTTCATGAGAAAAACTTTGTTACGAAGTTTTCTTGCACATTAATATTATTATAATATATAATAATAAAACATCACGTCACAATCTTTCCTCCACAAAAATTTTTGTTTTCAAAAATGAACTTACTTGGGAATAGATATGGATAGGATTCTCGCATATGATCCTCCATCTCCCAAGTAAAGTCTCTGGATTTCTGATCTCATACTACCTTCACCATTGAGATGGTTCTATCTCTAAGTTACTTCAACTGATAATCCTCTATCCTCATTGGTCTCACATCAACAGAGAGATCGTCTCTAATCTGCACATCGTCTGACTCTAGGACATGACTGAGGTCATGCACATATTTCCTCAACTGAGATATATGAAATACATTGTGCAGATTCGCCAAATGAGGTGACAATGCTAATTGATATGCTAATGAACCTACCTTCTTCAAAATCTGATATGGACCAATAAACTTAGGAGTCAACTTCTTAGACTTAATTGTCTTTCCTACTCCAGTAGTAGGTCTGATTCTTAAAAATACATGGTCTCCCCCCTCAAATTCCAAAGGCCTCCTCCTCTGGTCCGCATATGATTTTTGTTTACTCATAGTAGCTCTCAATTTCTCATGTATCTCCCGAACCTTCTTTGTAGTCTGCTGGAGTAACTCAGGTCTGATCAACACTTTCTCCTTATCTTGATACCAATATAAAGTGTTTGACACCTCCTCCCATAAAGAGCCTCATATGGTGTCATTCTGATACTAGCATGATAGCTGTTATTATACGTGAACTCTATTAATGGAAGGATATCATCCCAACTTCCTAGATTATTCAACACACAAGACCTCAACAAGTCTTCTAGTGACTGGATAGTCTTCTCTGATTGTCCATTTGTCTGGGGGTGATAGGCTGAACTCAACCTAAGTCGGGTACCTAATGCCTCTTGTAAAGTCTGTCATAATTGTGAAGTAAATCTAGGATCCCTATCTGAGTTAATGCTAGATAACACCCCATGTAATCGGACAATCTCACGAATGTATAGTTGTGCCAGCTTAGCCATAGATATCCTCAGATTTACATAGAGGAAATGTGCACTCTTCGTCAATCTATCCACTATCACCCAGATCGAATCGTGCCCCCGAACTGTCTGTGGTAAATAGGTAACAAAATTCATGGTAATACTATCCCACTTCCACTCAGGTATCTCCATTTGTTGTAGCATTCCTCCCGGCCTTTGGTGTTCCACCTTTGCTTTCTGACAAGTCAAACAAGCAGCCACATACTCTGCAATATCTCTCCTCATACCAGACCACCAATAAACATTTTTCAGATCCTGATACATCTTAGTCATACTAGGGTATAGACTCAGACGACTCCGATGACCTTCATCTAATATCACTCTCTTCAATTCTTGGTCAACAAGAATACAAATCCTTCCTCTGAATCCATAATACAAATCTCAGAATACTATCCTCACCCA